ACTATATAAATCAGTACTACTATTCAATACTATTATAAATAAAAAAGTATATTTGTTACTAGTTGAAGAGTAATCCAAATTATCCAAATTAAAATACTCAAAATATATATAAATCAGTACTATTATTCAATACAATTATCAATAAAAAAAGTATATTTGTTACTAGTTGAAGAGNGTGTCCAGGCCCGCCTTATACCCCTCGAACCCCCTTAACCTTATTCTTTGGCCGATCGTGTCGAGAAATTCGAGGAAGGCGGGCCCCGCGTGTTGATTGTTGTACATCTCCTCCTCGGTTCTTTGGTTGGACCTACAGTACAGGACACCGACTTTGTACTTGTTGGACAACCCCTGCTCGTCCAATCTGGCCAGCGCCTCCTCGGCGGCGGCCGTCCCCGAGCGGAGGCAACCGAGTTGCACCTCGGGCGCGACCAATTCCAACAGCTCCCTGGTGGGCACCCTGCCCTGCGGCCTTATGCCGCCCAACGCCTCCTCCGGGACGGAGCCGCGGAGCGTAAGCAGCTCCGACGCGCGCACGATTATCCTGTACTGGTTCGTGTCCTTTCGAATACTGATGGCTACGGGGCCCAACTGCTCGTCCATACCGAACCAATTCTGATGCTCTCGGCCTGGAAAGGGACACGACGATGATCTCGAATCCACCAGGTGGAGGATATTATTATTATTGCTTACCGAGGAAATACCGTCTGTAATAATGAGCACCCTCGTCGACGCTCTCGATAGGGAGCGGCCGTTTCTGAAGGGGGCAAGTGTGCTTCCAGGAGGTTTCCCCGGGCCCAGGTTCCAAAACGGCGACGCCGTACGACAGGGACGGTCTGTGAACTCCGTTGCCCGGGGAGCATCGAGTCAGCCCCACCTCCCGCTCCCCCTCGCCACCGATCTCGTTTCGAAAGAAGGGGCACGACTCCAACAAGTCGTTACCTATACATATAATTATAAAAATATGTAAAATAATATGTAAGAATATGTAAAATTTTCGACTCGAAATTTGATTTGTCGGATTTATTGGATTGGAGAATGATAATGAGAGAGGGAAAGAGTCTTCTGTCACACCCACCTCTGCCATCGCCGGCATCTTCCTCGGGGGTTTCGTCGGGTGTCGACGCTCTGAAGGAGCTCGCGGCCGAGGCGCCGGTGGCGGTGTTCCTTCTGCGCGCGAGAAGGATGCCTCTCAGCTTGGCAGCGTAGCCGAGATTGGCTGTGAGCGATTGGCAATCGTAATGGGCGAACGCCCGCCTTCTGTGCCTCTCCTCGACGTCGGCCGAAACGACGGGGCTGCCGCAGCTGCTCTCCTCCATGGCGCGTGGCGCCGCCTTAGCTCCCCACAGTCTGTGCAATTTCAATCGTAATTTCGGGCTGGAGTTGCCGGTCGGGCCGCATACTTC